AGGAGAAAGACAATAAATTTCAAAATAAATTCGGAATATTAAATACCCCAAAATTTAAAGTGCACAAATTGGGCCCTCTATGGTCCCTAACTCCAAAAAGATGAGTCCATTGTCTCATAAAACCATATGGTGATTAAATACAATTTTCAAATCCCAAATTCAAATCAAAAAAATCTCAACACCAAATTCAAAAAGGATCGTTTAATTCCTCATAAGGTCATATACCGAGAAATTATCTAAATACAACTTTCAAATCCAAACTCTAAAGTAAAATTCCAAATCGAATTTTAAAACATCTTTGAATTCCTCCTATGGTCATATATCGGGAAATTCTTCAAAATCCAAATTCAAAACTCAAAAACTACGATTGACTTGATTCCCTATGGGATATGTAGGCAACCTAAAAATTTAAGTGCAGTTTCAAGATCAAATTCAATCCTGAATTTCTCCTATGGTCATATATCGAGGAATTCTCCAAAATTTAAATTCAAATTCAAGAACTACGATTGACTTGATTTCTTATGGGATATGTAGGCAACCTAAAATTTAGTGCAGTTTCAAGATTAAATTCAATCCTAAAAATCCTCATAATAGACAAAATCAAAACAAAACTAAATCAAATTTCAAAGTGCGTTGATTCCTCATAAGGTCATACACCAAGGAATTATCTAAAATTTTCAAACCCAAAATTCGAACTACAAGTGGCTTGATCCCTTAACGGGGTATGTAGGCAACTCGACAAAATTCACTGAGTTTAGCCGCAATTTTAAATCAACCCAAATTCACAGAAAATAGAATTTACTGTTTTAATTGGAATCAAAAGGTTTTCCCTTGTACCAAGGGATTGTAATTAAGAGGTTATTCTTATAATCTTGAATGAGTCGAACTAAAAATAATAAACTCCTATAGGTGAAATTATGTTGTGTGAAATATTATTTCAACATTAATAAATATTTTCACTCAACAATTATCATTAATAGAAAGTTTTCATATTTCCACGGGTGGTGTTTTATATTGCTCACTAATAAAATGTGAGTCTTGTAGTGTAGGATCCACATTCTATTAGTGATGGTGTTTAGTATCAGTGGTGCTTCTAAGCATTTTTCTTTTAAGTCTAAACAATTTGTAAAGCCAGGGTGGACTACCCCTAAAAAAAGTTTCTTGACAATTTAGTCCTTAATGTTATAAAATAGTAGCAATTAATTCTAACCATTAAGGGGTCATTTGTTTCATATGCTTAAACTCAAATCATTGATTCTGTTATAGTGTAAAGCTCTCACATAAAATTTGAATTTCAAATGTTAAAATGAAAAATTATAGGTCTGAGTATACCTCCCAAACGGATCCTAAACATGAATTAGATTTTGGACGGGAGTAGTTGTAACCATTAAACATTGCTTCGTTCGCTTCACTAGTTCGAATCACAATTTAAATTTTTATATAGTATTTTTCTAATAAAAAATTATTTATTATTTATTTATGTACTACAATATTTTTTCATATGAATTCATTTTTTAACTTAAATTTTCAACTCGTGCGAGTTAAACGAACTATGCTAAATTACTATCCTAAATTAGTGTAGTATGGAGGAAGAAGTTTAATTGCTATATATGAATATCTATTTGATTTTGTCCATGATCCCAATCCCCAATAAAACAAAGTCCCTGGTTTGTTTACCTAATGCGTTGTTAAAACAAAATTCTAGCGTGGCAGTTGAGCAATATTGGTCGTACTTTTCTTTATATTTATTTTATTTTGAGAAAATATAGACAGACGACTGAATAGAAAATGGAACAAGAAAACCTCATCATTATTGAGTTAAACTGATTTTGCATGTAATCAGCCATGAATACACAATACAACGAAACATGAGAATTCTGCGGTATGCAGAAAACCCGAATGGCAGAATTCTATTTTGAACCGTCATATTAATATTAGGTTTGGTTCCGAATGATGTTACATTCGGGGAATTGATTCGTGCGCAAGGAGAGTTGATAAGGCCATGGAGATGATGTTGAGGGACGGTATAGAGCCAGATTTAGGCACATACAACGCGTTGGAGATGCGATTGAAGCTCGAAAACTTGTAGATGAGATGAGAATGAGAGGCTTCAAGCCTTATCGGACTGCTTACACTACGCCCATTGAGGGATGCCTCAAAGAGGGAGATCTGAAATCAGCTATGGAGATTATGAAGGGGATGGTGATGGAAGGCTGGGAGCTTGATGGTGAAGCTTTCATGGCGGTTGTTTCGGGACTATGTAGAGCGGACAATGAGGGAGATTTTCAGCTCTGGATGATAACTAATTCTTACGAGTGATTGGAAAAAGTTTAAGGTGATCTTGGTCTAATTAATTGATTCAGTGAAATTTATTTATATAATTTAGTTGTAGCTATTTTTACTATAGTAGTTAAAAAAAATGTCTAGTTGATACGTGATAGTTAAAATTTGAGTAGTTAAATTGACGTGAAAATTACTAATGAGATGAACCAAAATAAATGTCGATATGAATTATGATCTATAGTTGGAATCTGGCTGATATATTTTGAATGCATATGCTGGCAGGTTATGGTTGGATATAACTTCCATAAATACAAGAGAAAAACTAAGAGAAAATAGATTAGAGAATTAAGAAGAAGAAGAAGAAGATTTAATTATCAACACCAAAAACACGCCAGAAGTCTCCTCGTCCTAGAAACATTAATTAATATAACTTGACATGGTCACAACATGTGATTCACCGACAACGTTAAGTAAATGTTTTAATTCGTGACTAATTTATAATAACATTTCATGAGCTGGGTTATCTTATGACTGATGAATATAATTTCTTGGACTAGAAATATTGACCGTCTCTATACGAAGCAAGTACTAAATAATAAGAACATCTAGATTATATGTGTGTGTGAGCGAGAAAACACCATTTATTGGCTGTTTTGGTTTATAGATTTGAATATAGATTAAAGTTTGTGTAAACAGGAAGAAAAAGGATTTGAATCATAACTTTTTGAAACAAACAAAGGCTATCCACTATTTTGACTTTTGAGACATTTCTCACCTGTTCCAAGTGTATCTTCCGTTTTGTCTGGACCTTTTCAAATTATTTGAAACTTTCAGAGTATTGACTACTAAGTTTCGGAGAGCGATGAGCCAAGGAAAGAGGCTGCGAACATGCAACCAGTTTCAGTTGACAAAGCTTCTTCCAAAATATTTGAAATAAAATTTAAAAAAAAAAAAGAAAAGGGAGCTTTCGCTGTCCTACTAATTTATTTGTTAATTGTTGTTGTTGAGAAATATGTCGAATGCATTATTATATATTTATGTAATTATTTTCTGAAAGTCGTTTGCAATAAGAATTGAGTAATCTATTTTCAGTTGGCATGTGTGTGTCTGTGTGTGATAGTTATGTAGGAATAATGAACATTTTAGCCATACCAATCTTTTTTGTTTTTCCAAATAATGTATCAAAATCTTATTAAATTGAAATCATGGTACGGCTGCCCGTCCCATATGAATTTGATCAAAACGGTTAGAGCTCAAGGCTCACTTACAAACCATCCTGTAGAATTGTTTACACCCATCTAGCGGTCGAAGAAGACCCCTAGGCTCGCTGCAGACTCTGGGCTACAGCCTATAGCTGCAATAACATGCACAAGCCCAATTAGGTTGGCCCGCAGCTATATAAAAAAATGTTATTTTTTTTTAGGGAGAAAGAGGAAAATAGGCCAAGACTTGAGATGAATTAAAATTAATAGGTCAATAGTTTACATGAGTTAATAAATAGGCCAAATTACTGTTTTCGTCCATAACTTGCCTGGTTATGAACCATAACTTGACAAATTATTGTCCATAATTCACAGTTTTTATCCATAACTTATCTGGCTATAAACCATAACTTGACAAGTTTGTCCATAACTTATCTGGTTATGAACCATAATTTGACAAGTTATGACCTATTAATTTCTATAACTAAAAATTAGCCTATATACTTCCTTAAGCTTTTCATATTGACATATTTTTTACTATTTTCCTTTTTTTTAGGCCATCACGGGCCCAGTTGGACTAGTGACTCAAAAAAAACCCAACGGGCTGGAATAAGGATTCGGGTTGAGTTGACACAACCCGGTCCAGCCCTGACCTAGTCAACTGTTGACTTTAACTGTTGCCCTTGACTGTTGACTTTGACTGAAATTTTTTTCCTGGTGCAATATAAATTTAAGTATTGGTATGTTTATATATTTTTTGGGATGAATTAATGTATCTAATAGGATATGGGCTTTTAGTGTATAGTTATAATAGGTTAAAGAAGAAATACTAAAAGATAACAAATAAGCTATTTATATATAGCGGTTATGATCTCCAGATCACACATAACATTTCATTCTTTTTGGCATCCCATCATCAGAGAGAGAGCAGTGAGAAAGCTAAAACGTTCTCTAAGAAAATGTGTTGATCTGGAAGACAAATCGCACAGCTCTAGAGAGTAATTTATTGTAAAATAGATTCATATACACTTCCGCTTATTGATTTATTGATTCTTGGTGATCTAACATGAACGTTCTTAGATTTTATTGGATTACAGTTTTCACCGAATAATATTTTCTAACAATATATATCCATAGAAAGATTTCCTTTCAAACGTCATAAAACAAAATTATAGTCAGTCCCGTCTCAAGACTCAAAAAAAGAAGAGTTTATTTTAAGATTATGGTCACTTTTCCTCTAAGCTGGCATATTATGGCCAAAATCTTAGCTACCATTTTTTATTTAGCTCGTCTCCTCTAATGAATTTATGGTCAACAATGGCACGATTCTTATTTCTATTTGCCCTTTGACCATAAACCTTGGAAGACCATTCTTTGATAACGTGAAAAAATTTATGCACAACTTTGCACGACGTGGTCATAAGCTTTGGTTAACTTGTCTAAACTCCAATCAATGCTTTAAAATGAAAGAAACAAAGAGAGACAAAGAAGAGTTCTACTACCGATCATTCTCTTATGGCTTTCTTTCTCAAATTATTATTCACTATTGCCTTTGTATTGATCAAAATTAATACTTCTGAAGCTCAAGAAATTAGACAGGATCAGTCTAACGTAAGTCTTGGCTCTTCTCTTACACCTGATAAGAACTTGTCATGGTTATCAAATTCAGGTCTCTACGCCTTTGGATTTTACAAGCAAGGCAATGGCTATTCCGTGGGGATATTTCTAGCGGGGATTGCTCAGAAGACCGTTGTATGGACCGCAGACCGGGATTCCGCCCCAGTCACCAGCAACGCCACTTTGCTATTCACGAGTGAAGGAAGGCTGGTCTTGCGTCCAACACAAGGCAAAGATTATTATGACATAGCAGATTCTTCGCTACCGCCAGCGTCTTCGGCTTCCATGCTCGATTCGGGCAATTTCGTGCTCTACAACTCTGATGGTGGAATTATATGGCAGAGTTTCGAGCATCCAACCGATACCCTTTTGCCAACTCAACATCTCGCTGCGGGGAACGAGCTTGTTTCGAGCGTCTCAGACTCTGATCACTCGTCGGGAATCTTCCGTCTGAAGATGCAAAAAGATGGGAACCTTTGTCAGTACCCTGTGGGAACTCCGGATGAAGCTCCACACTCGTACTTCACTTCTTGGACAGACGGGAAAGGTAAGAATGTGTCGTTGGTTTTTGACTCCAATGGCTATCTTTACCTGATGAACACTAGTAATGGTTTGAATATGAAGAATATAAGTGATACTAGTACTTATGAGGGATATTATACTAGAAACAAAACATCATTAATCTTCCTCATGAGAATTGATTCTGATGGGATATTCCGAGTTTACTCCCATGGTAATTCTTCAGATGATCATGATGAGAGTACCGGAAGCTGGTCAGTTGAATGGTCATCTTCTAAGAACAAGTGTGATCCCAAGGGCGTGTGCGGATTGAACGGGTTTTGTGTTTCTAATGGTGATCAAGAACAGCTACCTATTACTTGTAGATGTCTCCCGGGGTTCGATTTTGTTAACAAGACGGATAAAAGTTCAGGGTGCAAGAGGAATATCAGCATCGCGGATATCTGCGGAAACGAGAGGATGAATTTCACCTTCACCATGGAAGAACTTCCAAACACGGGTTGGTATGATAATACGTATTCAGATTTGTCATTGCAACAGAAAGAGGCCTGCACACAAGATTGTCTCAGTGACTGCAACTGCGAAGCTGCGTTCTACAAGGACGGAAAGTGCAGAAAGCAGAAGCTTCCTTTGAGGTATGGGGTAGGTCTTCAAAGTGATTCAAATATAGCTCTTGTCAAGGTATACACACCCAAATCCACCATTGATCAAGAACCGGCTTTGCCCAAAGAAACCGACGAAAGATCAGTATTTCGGAGGAATTTCCTAATTATCGGAGTTGTCCTTGTTGTTTTCGGATTCATGATGATGGTGATCTCTATAGTTTTGTTCCGTAAGAGCAAAGTTTGGACATACAGAAAGATGGATTTCTATAAGGAAGCCGAACTTGGCGATGAAGTTGCGCTTCGACCCTATACATATGAAGAGCTAGAGAAGATGACCGAGGGTTTCAAGGAAGAGATTGGAAGAGGGTCATTTGGGACGGTTTATAAAGGAAGGATTCTCTACAGCGGAAAAGTAGTAGCTGTCAAGAGACTAGGAAGACTACTGCCAGAGCAAGGTGACAGAGAGTTTCAAAATGAGATGAAAGCTATTGGGAGAATCCATCACAGGAACCTAGTTCGCTTACTCGGGTTTTGCCGCGAAGGACCGAACAGGCTTTTGGTATACGAGTACATGGCCAATGGATCACTTGCAGATATGCTCTTCACACCAGGGAAACATGGCGTGATTCGTTGGGATGAAAGAGTGAAAATCTCTTGTGAAATAGCAAGAGGAATCGTGTATCTCCATGAAGAGTGCGAGACGCAAATGATCCATTGCGATATAAAGCCTCAGAACATACTCATGGATGAGAAAATATGTGCCAAGATCTCCGATTTCGGGCTGGCTAAGTTGCTCAGGCCAGATCAAACACAAACCTTTACCGGGATTAGAGGAACAAGAGGGTATGTTGCCCCTGAGTGGCATAAAAAATTTCCTGTTACTGTCAAAGCAGATGTCTACAGCTTTGGGATTGTGCTACTGGAGATAATATGTCGTCGACGAAATGTTGCCATGGATGTTCCCGAGGAAGAAGCGATCCTGGAAGAATGGGCGCGTTATTGTTTTGAGAATGGAGAGCTGCGGAAATTGGTGGTCGATGATGAAAATGTAGACGAGAGTCAATTAGAGAGGATGGTTAAAGTTGCACTTTGGTGCCTTGAGGAGGAACCGTCACTTAGGCCTTCCATGAAGAACGTTCTGCTCATGCTAGAAGGGATTTTGGACGTCTCAAGCCCTCTTAGTCCAAATTCTTTTACTTAGCACAGTAAATTTTAGCAATTGTATCTGTGCTTGGAACTCTAAACAAATCAATAATTCGTCTCAATTCGCTAAAACACAAATCAAAAAAACATAAACAGTTTTATGAATATTGTAGTTTTTTCTTCCTTTGCTCTTCATTGATTCGGCTTTGTAGCACTTCTACGTAGAAACGGTTCTGGTACATGATAAATATTAACAGACAATCAAAACATAACAGCCTGCATTTTTCTTTTCTTTTTTAATTTTTTGTTTCAGAAGAACACAAATTGGAATTTAGTCTGTACAAACTAATTAAAAGCATCAGTTCAGAATTCTGAAAAAATTAAGGCTCCAAAAACATGCACATTTTCGGATACTTGCAGGCTGTTTTGATTGCCTAGTGGAACTTTTGTTTATGGCATAGGCCACAACAGCCCCTCTCCATCCATTTTCTCCCCCTTTTTGGTTCCCTTGTCTGCGGGTTCTTCTCGTCTGTTCCGAATATCAAACACCATGGTCTAATATATATATATATATATATATATATATATATCCCAAGAGAAAAGGTATTTAAACAATTTATGCTTCTAACAAGTATATATCTTGTAAAACCAAGTTGGTTAGTCACACGGCTAAATCCCAATAAGAATTGAGATAACTTTGTTCCGCTTTAGAAAGGGAATAACATTCCTTTTTATCTTTGCATCTAATTAAATCATCAATCAAACTAAACCATGGCGTCAGAGAATGTTGGTAAGTCGTTACAATCCTAAAACTTACAATCCAAGTCATCTTTACATATCATGTTTTTTTTTTTTTTTTTTTACAAATTACAATTTACTTGTGCTTAGATATAAAGAAATTGAGGGGTTGTTCTTTTGTCTAAAAAACTCAAAAAAATACAACTCGAGTTCCAACTTTATTCAAGTTCATGTTCTTTTAAGTTTCAACTTTATTCAACTTTACTCAACTTTATTCAAGTTATAACTTCAACTCAAATTATAACTCAAATTCAACTTAAAAACTATACTCAAGTTACACCCCAAAAAACAACTCCCCAATCTATCACCGCTGCGTTGACATGAAGTTTTGGGCTACAAGTTTGTGGGCTTAGAAAGGTCACTGGGCCATACGTACGCTTAATTTTACAGAAACTCTCGTCAAAGTGTCCAAACTATACATCCTTTTATAGAATTTTGCTACCTTTAAAATTTGCATTGTATCGGTTATCACTTGCAGTTTCCACTATGAAGTCTTAAATGACAGAGTACAGAAGTTTTGCTGATAAATACGAACAGATTAGGAAGCTATTGTTGTACTTCAATCAATATTAAGGTACTAAAAATTGATCTTGACGGGTTTTCATATTGTGAAAATGTTATATTATAAGCTCATTATCAAGGTTAATTAATGATTATTTTGTCATTGTACACAAGTAAAGTGTCATTCAAGTTTCAACAATTAATCTCACATTAGATTGTGTAATTGATTCTTAACAATATTCACCAATCATAACGAAAAGAAGTACCCACTTTATAGTAGCAGTAATAAAAGATGGAATTAATATTTATATTAGACATCAAATAAACTAATAGATATGTATTATTTTAAAAGGTAATTTTAAAATAGTAATAATAAAATGAAGGATTTAGAACTCGGCTGAAAAATACTATTGGGCCTAACCTATCGGCCCATCTAAAAAATTAAAGTGAACTAGGACCGGCCAATAGTAACGAGCTTCGAACCGGCCCGTTTAACATGTCTTAGATTAACAGTTTTAGTTAGTGCAGTCAATTTGTGTCAATCTTTAGAGGATATACATTCCATCACAATTCATTGAATATGAGTAAACCGATAAGAACGCCGGGTCAACTTAAAATATCAGTGGTCATTCTATGTGATTTTGAGGAGAGTAAGGGTGCCTTTGGAATTGATTCCAAAACGTTTTTGTTTTTTGTATGAAAATGAAAACGAAAACGTTTTTATTTTCATTTTGGAATCATTTCTGAAAATGCGTTTGGTAGTTTTATTATGAGATTATTTTCAGTTTTAAAAAAAACTAAAATTGTGTTTGGTAGTTTAATTTTTAAAAACATGTAATAATATTTAAACTAATAATATATTAAATAAACATATCAACCCATTTCCTTACCTCATCAATCAACTCAAAAACGGGGCCTAAAACAAGGAAAAACGAAAACCCATTTCTGGATGAGGAGGGGGTGGTGAGACGAGTGGGGGGATGGGGGCATAGTCGGAGAAGACTGTGGGGGGAGGCAGAGGAATTTGAGTTGATTTTTTGATTGAGATTCGATTACAGCTTGGAATTGCAAGAAGAAGAAGAAGAAGAACAAAATGAAAATGAAAATGGAAAACTGAAAACGATTTTCAATCGTTTTCAGTTTTGTTGAGTTTTTAAGAATAAAGTAAAAAACGTTTTCATTTTCTGCTTTTCAAGAAATGCTGCCAAATGGCTTCCTCAGAGCATTTTCAATTTTTGGTTCTTGGAAAATGTGAAAACGGAACCAAACAGGCCCTAAAATTTTTGTGCGAGAAAAACACTAACATAAGCTATTTGAATCGGGGTTTGAACTTCTTTGCCAAACATGCACCAAATGTTTTAACTTTAATCGATCACTTTCCTAATAGTTTTTTTTCAATTTCAATACAAAGTGATGGAACTTGCAACCTCCAAATTCACGTCCCACTCCACTTTATCTTGTGCCCTTGATCTAATGATTATTTATCCTGTTTAGGTTGTTGCCGGATAACGAGTGGGAATGGTCCTCTCAACCTTTTATTGACAAGTTGGTTCTGAATTTTCTTCTCTCTTTTTCTTTTGGAGGGGGCCGTCTTTGTATTACTCCCAAGATACATGCCAGTCAATTTCATGCACTTCTTTGACAGAACGGCTTTTATATGGAATCTTGAAGATTTATATTTTGTTAGTTATCAAGAAAGTTGATTTTTGTTATTTATTTTTCTTGAAAGAAAATAAAGTTGATTTTTATTATTTATTTTTCGATTTAAATTCAAGACCAGCCCTTGTTTTTCCCCTTCTTCGTAAGATTAGATCAGTCATTTTAAAAAGCCAAACAAACAAAACCCGGATTCTTCATCTGCTTCTCACACTTTAGGCCACTCATTTAGGAAGTAGTAAGTTTTAACATATTTTTTTCAATTAATTAGGAAACAATATTTAAGACCCATTTAATTCGTATACTCAAACTCAAATCATTAATTATGTTATAATATTTGTTTCTCATAAAAAACTAAATTTCAAATGTCAAAATTAAAAATTATAATTTAAGTATACATTCTAAACAGATCTTTAACAAATGTTAAAATTGACATTCTCCTTCCTATTTTTGACATCATGCGATCCTTATTATCAGCATTAATTCGGTAGTAAAATGCATGAATATATAGAAAAGGGAAGCAAACACTTCTATCTTTACGTTTCTATTCATGTAAAGTAACAATGTTATAAACGCCTAGTATTATATTTATTTATTTTTGTCTGTTTTTTGAAAGTAGTATTAGATTTATTACATTATTAGATATTGTTTAATTTTTCCTTTTCTTCTTCCTATTCTTTAAGCATTCTTCAATTATGTTGTGAGTCTTGTGACATAATATTGGATCATATCATTGGTTGTTTTCGTAGGTAACTATTTGTTCTTGATTTAATTTTAGGACAAATTTTATAAATTCCTCCTGAACTTTATCATTTGTGTCAACATGTCCTTAAATTTTAAAATATGTATGTTGTGCTCCTTAAATTTTGTCACTTATGTCAACATACCTATTGAGGTTAATTCAGTTAATTTTTTTAACGAAAATGCTTATAAATGCCCCTGAATTTTGTCACTTGTGTCCATATGCCCCATGATTTTAAAATATATATGTTTTGCCTACCGAACTATAATATGTCTCCAACTTTTTTCCCTCAATCTTAATTCTATCAGTTTTATTAATAGAAATATTGATATGACCATTAAATTGGTAATTATCTATGATATTTAAGGTTGATTGAATACATTTTCCTCTAAAAATATTTGTTAAGCATCAATTTTCAAAACATTAGTTGATTAGAGGCAATAAAGAGAGAAAAAATTAAGAACAAATCTGTATAATATAATGAATTTTGTTAGTATTTTTTCCTTAATATTTCAACTAGATAGAAGTGCTCGACATAAAACATGTTCATGCTTTATACCTATATAGCATTTTTATATCCAAATGCGTTCAGGTCATTTACTTAATTATACCTTAAAAAAAACAACAACAACAAAAACCTTAAGAAACCCATAAACTTAACAAACTTTAATTGTCAAATATCATAGATAATTAATAATTTAATAGTCATATCAATATTTTTGTTCAAAAAACTGATAGAATCAAGATGGTTGGATAAAAGTTGGAGACATATCATAATTCAGGGGGTAAAACAAGTATATTTTAAAGTTAAGCGGGCATATTGACACAAGTGACAAAGTTTAACGGGTATTTATAAACATTTCCGTTAAAAAACTTAACAGAGTTAACCTCATTGGGCATGTTGACATAAGTAACAAAATTCAGGAGGCATAACATGCACATTTTAAAATTTAGAAAGTATGTTAACACAAGCGACAAAATTTAAGGAGAATTTATAAAATTTGTCCTTAATTTTACAAACAAAAATATCCATGAACTCATTTTTAGTTCCACTCGTGGTTCATTTAAAATTTAGAGAGAAAAAAAAAAAAAAAAACTACTAAGAAAACTTTTTAAATTTATATAAAAACTGTCTATTATGTATTTTTTTTATTTAATATGATTTTTATCGTATCTAACAAGGTTCTACGAGTGAAAACCTCTAAAATTTTATCATGTTGGAGCAAAATTGCAACTAATTTTTTTTATATATATTTAAGTAAATTGCAACTAAAAAATGATAGTTTGCTTTTCTGACAAAAGAGAAAGTCAAGAGTGCGTTTAGAACTCGTTTCAAAATTATTTTATTTTTTGTATGAAAA